TAGTTTAAAACCAAATCAACCATTTAACTTAGACAAAAAAATGATAATTGAAATCTTTTTTCTCTTATAAATAAGAAAATAGTGTAGGGCATGTTATTTTCTTAAAATTTTTTTAGAAGATTTGGCTAAAAATTCACTTTTTAATTAATGTTTCTGAAAAATTACTGTTAGATTGAAAGATTTATTCATATATATCATGTATATTAATTTTCATATTGATTTAAAATTTATAATCTTTTAATAAAAGCAACTCTTTTTACTAATATATATTTAATGATGTTTAAATTCCTTGCAGTGAACGAAGTGGTTAGGTTTATTGAATTAACATGAAAATTTATATCCAAATTTAAATGAATAAGACTTTTACTTTAACAGTTGATTTGTGAAAATATAAATAAAAGGATAAATTTTTAGATATATCCTTTAAAAAAATTAAAAAATATGACTTGCAAAATACTTTTTTCTATAAATAATTTTTATTTAGTAGGTTAATTTGATTTCAATTACTATTTATTACCTAAGAAGTTGTGGTTTATTAATAAGAAGATTAGCTCTTTATCCCCTTGATTAAGATTGATTTCTTAGAGAAGTTAATAAAAAAATAATTTTTCAAAAATTCTCTAATTTTGATGTAAACACTTTTGGTTGAATAAAAAAATTAATTTTGAAATATGTATAAATTCACTCAAAAACATTTGATTGCTAAAAAAAATATAATCTAAAATTACAATAAAAAATAATCTAAAATTATGATAAAAAAATCAAACAACTTAAATTTTAAAATAAAGAGAATATTGATAAACCAAGAATAAATACAATGCAACTAACTTCTAAAAGTGATGTTTTCAGAAAAATACGTTAGAATCCTGAAAGCAAGCACGCCTTGAAAAAAGGAATCCTAATAAATCAAAATTACATTTATCAAACTTATTTTATATAGTAGGAGTATATTTTCAAAAAAGAAGTACACAAAAAGACATAAAAGTACACGTCACTTATCGTAACCAAAAGCACACAAATGACCACTCTCAACGGTCCAAGTCCGATCCAATCTCATCTCACCTCACCTCTAAGCCATTTTGAAAAAAAAGTACACAATTCTTCACTCAGCCCACTCAAATTCTCTCTCTTTTCCTTTCACGCCCAAATTTCACCCCCCCTTTCTTCTTCGCTTCCCAAGACAAAAATATCTCCTTTCTTTTCTTTTCCTCTCCTTCCCCCAATCTAAATCCCCATGGACCCTTCTCCTTTCTCCATGTTCCCACCTCACTCCATCTCTCCTCCGCCCATCGTCCCCGTCATCCCCACCACCACCAGCACCACCAGCACCACCACCGTCTATGCTGTCAACCCCACCACCACCAGCACCACCACGGCCGCCTTTGTTGCCAACCCCACTCCCACCACCCCTGCCTCCCTCAACCACCCGACTTACTCCGAGGTATGTAACAGAGCACTTTCTCTACACCCTTTTATGTATCTCCGAAAGTTAACTTAACCCTTTGTTTCTCTTTGTTTCCTTCTCTGTTTAGATGATATATGAGGCGATTGGGGCTTTGAAGGAGAGAGACGGGTCGAGCAGGAGGGCTATAGCTAAGTATATTGAGGGAGCCTACAAGAACCTGCCACCGACGCACTCGGCCTTGTTGACTCACCACTTGAAGCGGTTGAAGAGCAATGGTCATCTGGTGATGGTCAAGAAGTCTTACAAGCTTCCTAGATCTGACAATCATCTTCCGGAAGCTTCGGCTGCAGATGCGGCTGCTGTCCCTGTCCCTACTTCTGATGCGGCTGGGCCTAAGAGAAGTCGTGGTAGGCCTCCCAAATCCAAGCTCACAACGACTCCAGCGGTCGAGCCAATTTCTCAGTCCGTTGTGGTTGGTTCCGGGCAGGCTGACGCTGGTGGGAGCAATGTTCAGCTTCAGCCTGCGGCTGAGGTGGTTAAGAGGGCTGCTGGTGCTGGTCGTCGGAAGAAAAATGGGCCGGTTGCAGCAGCCGCCGAACGTGGGCTTAAGAAGGTTCGGGGTCGCCCACCCAAAAGTGCCGCTACAGGTGCAAAAAAGAACACTGGCCGGCCAAAGAAGATGACATCCACTGGCCTGAGCACTGTAGTGGCACAGAATGGGGTGAAGAGGAAACGTGGACGCCCGCCCAAGGCTCAGGTCCAACCTCAGGCTCAGCCCATTGTTGTTCCTTATGCCAATGATGCCACTACCAATTATACCACTTCCAACATTGGCGTGCCTAACACACCGAGGTCCAGGGGAAGGCCGTCCAAGATCGCTGCTTTGCCTATAGCTGTTGGAGGAGGGAAGCGGAGAGGTCGGCCACCGAAGGTTGCCGGTGTTAGTAAGCCCATGAAACCCAAAAAATCTACGGGGAAACCTGTAGGACGCCCAAAGAAGGTAATTTGATTATTTGTTATGATTCAATACCTTTTTTTGTTTACTATGCTCAGCTAATGAAGTAGGGATCAATTAATTTGAATTGCTGCAAAAACCAACTTTCGTGGTCCATATGTCTAATAAATGGTTTATTCATTCATGCACATCATACCATTAATCATTTCATTCAAATAAGGATATAATAGTGAACGAGTACAAATAGAAAATGTTAAAATCTAAAGTTTTGAATAAGAATTTATTAGCTTGGTTGTTTTTAGTTATTAGTTTTGGTTATGAAAATTTTAGGAACGCTAGGCTGGTTTCTAAAAATAAAAAATAAAAAATAGCAACAAGTTTCCACAATTCATTAAAACTAAAATTTTGGGTTTTTAATTATATAGATTGTTTTGGAAATTGTTGTTGGTTTTTAATAATATTAATAAACACATTATTATAATTATTTGGAATACAATTGAAAAAATAAAAGAATTTGAGTTCTGACAAGTTTGATTACTACACAATATTTGATAAGATGTATTCCCTCCGTCCCAGAATAATAGATGTTTTTTTGCTTTTATCTTCAGATTAAGGATTTGGGGACAATTTCTATTTTTATCTATTTCACCCTTAAAAAATAAATAAAAATAAATAACTATTTTAATTAGAGGATGGATAATTAAAGTTGAGAGATAATCATAAGGTTAGAGTAGGAAAAAAATATTTGTCTCCTTTGACATATGAAAAAAAGACTATTATTCTAGGACAAATTCTAAATAAAAAAATGTCTATTATTTTGGGACGGAGGGAGTATTAAACAAGTTGTCAGTTCAGTAACCAAAACAAAAGCCAAAAACTAAAACAGTCACCACACCAAATACAGCTAAACATTGGAAGGATGAGTAATAGCTTCTGCAATCTTACTTTCATCTATTAAAAAGGTTAGATAATAACTAAAAACATTTAGATAATGTTTGTCATATTATCTGGCTACTACATGGCAATTGGGTGAGAATGTAGAAAAGGCTACTTTTAACAGACTGGCAAATTTAAATGGGAATTCACCATTGTGCAATTTTATGAAGTTTCCCTTCAATTACCTTAGGTGGGAATGAGTTTCAAGTTTTTAATAGCTAAACAATAGAGAGAATGTAGTAATAGCTATTACAACTTCATTCTCATTTGTTGAAAAGCTAAGCAATAACATTTAGGTCATGTTTAGCATACAGCGTATTGCTATTACATGGCTATTGATGTTGGCAGACTACTTAAGCTCTGATGATGGGTGGCCTAGTTGATTTTTTTTTTTTTTAATAAATGAAAAAAAAAAGGGGTAAATACACATGATGAATTGAAGCTAGGCATCAGAGTTAGCATGGAATTGCCTTTCATAGTCAATTACTTGCTCCCTTAGTTGAGCATATGACAAGTGAGAGAAGTGTAAAACAGAATGGAAGGAGATTGATAGAGTGAGGGAAGGATAAAACAGAAAGGAAGGAAATTGATAAAGCAAAAGAAGTGTAAGACAGAAAGGAAGGAAATTGATTGAGTCATTCACTTTCTTTAGAAATTTTACTCGTTTCTTTTAGCCTTTTTCTCAAGAATTCCTGAGGAAGGGCATTTGTGTAATGATGGGTTTCATTTGTACCATGTAACTATGATGTTATTCCATCTGCAAGCTCACTCCACTAAAATGCAAATTACTTAGACTATTGGCTAATTATGCTTCTCTCCTATTTACCCATTATGCTTTGCTCAAGATTTTGGGGGTTGAGTGTGGAATTGCCTTTGGCAATCTCCTTATTGAACTCACACAAATTTTCTTCCTTTTCCTTTTATTTTATTTTATTTTTTTAAAAATAAATAAATAACAAAAATGCAGGTAGGTGTGTGCCACTGTCATCCAATTCTACTAACATTTTATGGCAATTGGGTGTGATATATTAAAGAATTTTTGTATGTGGTTGAGAGCCAGTTGAAATTCTCTACAAGCTAATATTAAAATAGTTAGGAGAAATATTGTAATAGCCATATCATAAATTATCCCCACATATTTAAATAATGGACAACCCATTTAATTAACTTGGTGCAATTTTATCATGCTATAAATTATGATATTGAGATACTCTAATTTCTTAAGTATATATAAAATTACTGTAACAACAAAATTCATTATATTCTTACTGACAATAATGACTAAACAATTTATCAAAGGGTGTTGCTAATTTTGTGTCCATTTTTGCTTGATCCACACAAACATGTGGTCCCACAACATGCTTAAACAAAATTATTCTGGGAACCATGGACTTTTGTGTAGATCCAAGCAAAATGATTGTGAATAGGACCCTCCTTTGCCAAATGTAACCTAGGTAATTTATTCTATTGTAACCCTATTTTATTTCTTTTGGTAGATTGTAGAGGTTTGTTACCCCTTGCCTTGATTCTAAATCAAGGTTTCATAGGTTTCTGGTTTTGAGTATGGATTTGGTTAAGCACTTGTTAGTTTTTTTTTTTTTGATCTTCACTTGTTAGTTAACCATATTTAATTTCATTCCAATGTTTTTTGGCATTTGATGACATCATCAAAAAATTTTCTTTTATCTTGTTTTCTCTTTTTGAAAAATAAAACATGTTTTGTAATTCAAAATTTTTTGTTCTTTTCAAGAAAAAAAAAGGGAGATTTTTTATGAATATTATGTTATATAATATATATATATATATATGAAACAACCTCATTCTTGCTTTAAAAGTTGGGATATTTTAGTCTTTTTTAATAGAACTTTATTAAAACGACATAGTTTTGGAATATTTTTCTGCTTAATTTTTTGTAATATAGGCTAATAGCTAATACCCACTTATCTGATATATATATATATATATATAAAGAGAGAGAGAGAGAGAGAGAGAGAGAGAGAGAGAGAGA